CTGCCCAACTTTCTTCTCACTACCACACTCTCACACCACTCATAGAGCAAATAGAGTATGCAACAAAACTTAACTCACTATGCATGTAAACATATTACACAAGGTAATAAGTCACTCTAATTCATGCAATTACACACATCAAATATATCGAAAGTGTAACATCAACATTGCAACATAATTAAGTGATCATATACATACAGAGAGGATTACACACAGATGCAATGCAAGAACCAGGTTTATTCTCTCAATAAACCTCACTAGGATCACTACTCCACCCTAAAGTCACATTCGCCTTGTCTCTATCCTCATCTTTCCTTTTATTATCATCATAGGACAATCTCTTTCAACCATGTCCAAATTTTACCACAGTTAAAATATATGTTATTTTTCGTACTTACCTTAGACCTACATTTGCCACCAATGCCAAAAAATGATCACAAGTAAAGTATGAACATAATTCACATAGAATAGTCCAGTAAACTTTCCTAAGGCCACATACAATTCTAATAATGTAGAAAAATTGATAGCAAATTCACAAAGAATTTAAGGCAAATAATTAACAAATAATTCCTAGGTTTAGCAACAGGCAATGGTTACCCCTAGTCTAATGTCACCCCTCACGATGACCTCTAATGTAAAAAATAAATTACTCTACATAATAATTTTAACTGCAATAATAAAAGGTAAAGAATACGATACCGAGCGGACCACGTCTGAAGGTCTGTAAATATCGAGACATGCGAATTCACTACTTTAGGAATATCACTATTCATCCTAAAGTCTCTCAAAACTGCAGCAACCAAAAAATCACGATCGAGTCCCGAACACCCGAAGAACAACGTTGTCCAGATTCTACTGCGTACCCTGAAACAGAAAACTTCCAACATGAAAAATGTCAGAAATAATATGAGGAACAAACTACCTGAAGAGACTATCTCCAAATTCAGTCTCATGCGCCCTCATGCGTGGCCTTTCTTCTATGCACGTGGGATTCACGCACCGGCCCATGCGCCGCGTGGATGATACACGCACCGGACCACCAGAACTGTAAGCACCTACACATCACGCCAGTGGTCTCTATTTCCTGAAACTCGTTCTGGATTGGTCAGAAAACACCAAAACAGGTGCTGATTTTTAACAATTTTCTGGACAGTTTTTTGATTTGATTTCTACTGCGTTTCCGTCGATTTTCTAGACGATTTCTGGTAGATTTCACGAGCCAAAACCTTTACCTTGAAACTCTGATACTAATTTTTGCGGAAGCTCTCTTGAAAGAATCTTCAAACGGTAGTTTTCCAGGCCCAATCCAACGTACCTTTCTCTACCTACAACCAATCCAACCGGCTCCAAACCACAACCAATATAATTCACCTTGGTTGCTATTCAATTTTACCCACGTAGGACAAGAAATGATGATGATTTGTGGCCACAAAGGCTAGGAGAAGACACTATAAAGGTATACTATGAAGGAACCACCAATTACACAATGTAAATAGGTGTTTTGGATACTTCTAGGGGCTGTTTTTTCACTCACCAAGAGGGCAGCCGGGATTCTCCTTTTTCTCACACAAGTCTCACAAAAACATCACAAGAAAGAGGTTAGGGTTATATCCATATATATACTCTAGGATTAGGCTTTAAGTTGGGCCATTAAAGAGGTAAACGGGTCAAGATTCAAGCCATCCAGAAAGAATATAATTGGGTCGAGTGTAGCTCATGGACTTGATTGTTGGACTTATTTCATTCATCGGCCTATGCCTATGAAATAATATTAACCCACGTTAACATCATAGTCTTGGATTTTTTGGGTATCAAAAACCCAACAGTGGCTATGAGAGTAGATACAACCATGCATCAGTTTGATGTATTCTTCATCCATTGTTCGCTCTTTTTGAGCAAATCTTTGTGAGTTTCTGTGAACAATTCCCTAGGTGTTTTTCCCTGTGAGTTCATTTGCCACTTATATTTATCGTTCACCATTTTTTCCACCTCCTGCATTGCATGAAATTTTAAGGATGCTAAATTTATAAATGACAATTAATTTGTATTGATGCCTAGACGAAATTAATACCTTAAACCACTGTAATTCTCTCTGCATTTGAAAAGCAAGACCTGTAACAGCATTATCTAATCCAAAAGCTAAAAATGTATTCCGTGCCGTCGCATCGATCAGAAGATTGAATAACTTCTCTCGATGATGCTTGATAGCTACTTGCAATAGAGTATGGATATTGTATTTGTACCAAAGTAGATCTGGTACATAGTTCAAAGTTACTTCTACAATTTCAACTACTCCTCCCGCCATGGCAACATGTAGAATTCCGCCATCCAAGAAGAAGTGTAGAGTTTGCTCATTATCTAATAATACAGCTTGTTTGCAAACAAATTCTATTAGTTCAAAACACTGTTTGTGTACCAGCTTTCGACCAAACACAAGCTTCAATCTTGGCTCTGCAAATGAGAAATTAAAAAACTGAACTTCTGAGTCATTGAAAATTAATGTAGTGATTGCAATAATTTATCATTACTTGAACAACTTTACATAACCATCCGACTGCTGCAAGAAAACTAGCTTAGCTCAGTTAAGTTGCCAAAGCAGAACCACAAAACTATAATAAACATGCATTTTTGCCTATAATTTACATGGAGCAATCACCATGATGCTTTTAAAGTAAAAAATAAAAGTTGAAAATTTTGATGTGGTCTAAAACAAGCACCAAGTCAATGATACAAAATATTTGATACGTATCTGATTAAGATAGGCTTTGTAAGAAGCAAGTCATTGCTTGTACTTTATGTATTTTGATAATTATCTTAGAGTATATATTTTGTTGTATGTGGATGATACTTTATTGGCAGGTAGCAACTTAAAATATACAAGAAAAAAAAGGTAAGTTAAAACTTGAGTTTGAAAAGAGAGATTTGGGTCTAGCCAAAAGAATTCTAGGCATGGACATAACAACAGATAGAACGTGTTCTTCACTTTTTCTATATCAGAAAAGTTCTCTCATAAAATTTTGGAAAGATTTCATGCTGGAATCAAACTCTGCCTCTTTGCCTATTGCTGAAATTTTTTATTTTTTTTGGCTGAACATAAGACAGCAATAGATGCCGAGAAAATGTTAAATATACCTTACTATAGTGCTGTTAGATCTATTAGTGTATTAAGATGATATATGTCCAATCCAAGTATTGAACACTGAGAATCCTCAAAATGGCTTCTCTGATACTTGAAAAGCACATTAGATTTTGGTTTAGTTAAGCGTTGCAAAGATGGTATTAAAACTTGAAGAGTATGTTGACAGTGAATGCAAGTGACAAAGATAAAAGAATGCCAACATTAAGTCTGATTTGCAACAGGTTGTGGCTCTTTCAACAACTGAAGCTGCGTATATATTTGCAATTAAAGCTTTGAAAAATAAAAAAGCAATTTCACTCCAAGAACTGAATCTAATTGAAAAGGAAGTAAAATTGTTTTTAGATAGCCAATCTATTCTTCGTCTTGTAAAAATCATGTATATTGCGAGAGAACTAAGAATCTCCACAGCTAAATTGAAATTAAGACTGTTAACTTTTGTTTATTATCAGCCATGAAAAGAGAGCAGCAAGCACTTACGTGAATAAATGAATCTCTCCCAAAAGCTATGTCTACTTCCACTTGGGAATGAATGAGGGTGCCCCGAAAGCACATGCAATATTGTAGTCTCTGCTAGCCAAATGCGAATACCGTTGGAGAAATGATAATAATAATAATTGGAGAAACACGAACACAATATATACATATAAAAGCATAAAAATGCTAAAAAGATGTTGACATTCCTTTTTTCCTACGTCCAGTGCGGAATTAGTTTATTGGTACCCACCCACAGGTGTAATCTTTGACTTCGGAGGATATCATCAGCTTGGGGGTTTGGAACATCAAGTTTTTGGATCAAAAAATTTGAAGTTTGTGATATGGATCCAGATTAAGAATTAATAATCGAATTTGGATAAAACTTCGAATAATTCATTCTTAATATAACATACGTATAGAAATTAATATTCTTATTCCACTTTCCAACAATTGCTACTCCATTAAATTTTCCGATGCAGTGCTAGTGATTATCCAACTAATTAGAACAAAGAGAAGGAGAAGTAAATCCTAGATCAAAGCTCAATATGTGAAATTGATTTTTCTCGAAATAGTTTCAGAGGCACTAACCATAGAAACCTACAACTGCAATACCCAAAATTAGCGAACTTGAACAAGGACCAGTAAAGGCATAGCTCGGATGCTCATCTGTAGTCACCGTAGAAAGGTACCATAACATTTCCTTACGTGCACCCCAGTTAGCAGCAAAGAAGAGCGGGGTCTTTCCATCAATGTCTGTAGTTAGAGGCAGAGCCCGATTTTTTTTCTACAAATGCATTGCTGTGGCAGCATCTACAGTTCCCTCCCCCCACAGCTGCATAGTGAAGGGCGGTGCAACCCTTTTTCTCTTGTGCATTGAGGGCAGCAACCGGCATCAGGTCTGCCATCTTCTCTACAAATTTGGACTGGGAGCTGCTGGCCGCCACATGAAGTGCCGTCATTCCTTGGAGTGAGATTACCTCTGTCAATACGGCAATATCATTGTCGATGAAACTTTTAGCAGTAACCCAGTCGCCTTCTTTTGCGGCTGGATGCAAGGGTCGGTAGTAATTAAGGTTCACTTCAGGACCTTTATTAGCACATTGCGATTTTCGAAATTAGTGAAGTAAAGCAAAATAATAGAAAACATCAAAACAGTGTAGATAAGATGTTCTCTCTATTTAAAATTTTATAGAAAGTTTTATAATTCTTACCCGTGAAGAATGTTGGTAACGACCCTTTGGGAGGAGCTGCTGGCCTCTGTGCATTTAGTTGGTGACTTCCATCAACGTCTAACAAGTGATTAGTATCAAGGTTCCCTCTGTTTATTTGAATCGTTGAGTTCCCCCCGTTTATTTGAATCGTCGAGGCATTTGCCATTTTCAGCCAAGAAATACGGAATTCTATCAGTGAGTAGAAACTCCAACAACATAAAAATCAAACACTTCATATTTGAAATTTTAAAATCAAGTCACTTTCTATATCTGTTTACTCCAAACAGATAAAAAAAAATTTCATTCAACAAAAAAAATATTGTTTCTAGTCATCACTTCGAATCGGTAAGTATATTTACGTATTTTTAATTTTGTTTTCGTTGAATTAGTAAATTGCTTTAATCGTTAAATCTTATTTTTACATAAGCAGATTAAATTTTACAATTTTTAACAGATCTATAATTTTTTAAGCAAAAAAAAAAATAAAATCATCTGCATAGATAAACAATCGACTGGGAATAGCCGGCCCGCTGCTGGGCCGAATGAAAAGCCAAAGACCCAGCGGCTCGCTGTCAGTTTCCAGGCAACTAGAAATAGACAGCCCAACAGCCAGTTGGCTGGCTGTTTGGTCGACTTTTCTTCTCATTTTTTTATCTCATAATTATATTTTTTAGTAAATTATGTTTCCTAATGTGGATATAGAATCAACTATAGTTCCCATTTGTTACTTTTGTGGATTTGAAATGAATAAAAATGATCGATGGATGTGAAAATGGACAAGTGAAATAGACGTGGTGCTATTGCAATTGTGATAAGATCGAGTATATCATATGTGGAAATGTACCAAGATTTATGGTATAACCTCAACGACGATCCCTCTCAAGATGATGTGGAATTAGGATTTCTATTTAGCGAGCATACATCCATTTTAATTTTACTTACAATGGTTACTTCCGAAGCTGAAATGAATGTTTTAATTGAATTGAACCAAAATTGCACGACTCCTATTTGCATAACTTTAGTTAAAAAGAATGCCCATGAGAATGAACACAAAGATTTTGATGGAGGAGATCGCAATGTGAATGATTTTTGAGATAGGATGGATATAGTTCGTGGGGATGATGTAACTATTCCTAAAACAATTTTCTTCATCATGATTCCACTGTTACACACAGATTTTTCTCAATAGTTCAAGACAACTAGAGTGATATTGAATTTGTAAACGAGGATTTGATTGCTTTATCCTGTCGGAGACATAAGTCAGGTGGAATCTGACAAACTGGAACGAGTACACAGTCCTCTAATTGTTCGCGTGTAGTTCCCGATGATGAAGATTTATATGTCGATCAACTGTTTGAAATAAAGAAAATTGTAAGTTGCGCAATGAATATAGGGGAAATAAGCAGGATCGACGCAATATGTCTTTGTACTCCTCATCAAGCAAATCTAATACCGATGTAAAAGCTGACAAAGTTACAGTTCAATGTAACTTTGTCGGGATCTATTTAATGGAGTCGTCCAAATGGAATTCCACTCTACAAAATTTCAAATGTTAGAACATTGTGCAAGAAATAATGGATGAAGCATAATATTAGAAAAATTAAACTAACCGATTTGTAGCTACTATACGCATGAATCAACAAATGATGAAATAAATGAAATGAAAATAAAGAAGTATTAAACAACAAAATTATAAAAAGTGAAAATTTATTTTTTGTCAACAAAATTAAAAATTCAATATTCAATAAACAATTAAAATAAATAATTAAATAAGAAATTAAAATAAATAATTTAAAAAGTAATTACAAAAATAATTCAATATTAAATATGTAAATGAAATAAATATTAAATAAATAATTTAAATAAGTAATTAAATATTAAATACGTAATATATGAAATAACTAAAATAATTAATGAAATATTTAAATAAAAATTTAATTTAAATATTAAATAGACAATTAAAATGGGTAATTAAAATATTTAATTAAATTTTAAATAAATAATACACACAAACAATTAAAATAATTAATGAAATATTTAAATAAAAATTTAATTTAAATATTAAATAGACAATTAAAATGGGTAATTAAAATATTTAATTAAATTTTAAATAAATAATACACACAAACAATTAAAATAATTAATGAAAAATTTAAATAGACAAGTAAATTGAATAACTAAAATAAATAAATTAACGAATTAAATATTAGATAATTAATATAAATAACTAATTAAATAAAATTAAATATTAAACAAATAATTAAATTAAGGAATTAAATTAAATAACTTAAATAAATAAATAACATATTAAACAAAAAGTATACATAAACAATGAAAATAATTATTTACATATTTAAATAAACAATTGAAGTAAATATTAATAAAAATTGCTGGGCTGTCTAGAAACGGTCGTTTAGATTCGAACGGATCCAGAAGGCATTTTAATGCAGGCGGTTGGACATGGCTCCGGCATTCTCCGTTACCAAAATCCTAAATATTTTGATATTTCATGCGTTATTTTTCATGTACAAACACTTTTTGCATAGATTCTTTAACAAATCTATATATAAGTGCTTTATTCAAAAATTAATTGTATATGCCCTTTTTTGAGCCACATTATTTTCCTTAGAATTAATTTTTGAATAGTGTATTGATGGAAAATGTATGATTAAAAAATAAAGAAAAGTTTTGAATTTACATATAATATTATTTTATTGAAAAATATGTGGTTGAAATGATGTCAAATCACTGTTTAATAATGTATTTTTTGAAAAAATGTGGCTCAAACATGTCCTATAATAATTTCAATGCTCACCAAAAATTCAAGGGGTAAGAGTTGGCGATCTCTCGTCGGGGTCATCGATTTCTTAGTGTGTTAGTCAGTGTCTGGGTGCCGATTTAGGGTCCACAGTAATTTTCACTCTTTTCTCTCTTCATAATACGAGGATATAAATGGGACTTTCATTAATTTTTAATGTTTTAAACGTTTTTATTTTTTTTTATAATGGTCAACGGCCATTTTATTTGTTAATAATAGTCAACGCCATTTTGGATGGCTAGAGTACATCGCTTTGGTACAACATTTAAAAGGATAAATAAAAGTCAAACAAACATTATAATGCCAGTGGCTGAAGAAGTGTTGCATACGCAAACAAAATTATAAAAAAAGGAAAAAAAAATATAATATAATGCTAGTGGCTTAAGAATTGCTGGAAGCAAGCCATATGAAATAGTCAAATAATTATGGCTCTATTTGATTCCCATTTTTTTCTCATTAAAATAAAAAATATGATCGTTATTCATCACATCAAGTAACTAAATTTGAATTTCTATCTGTTGTGTGAGGCTAGTAACGGTTATATTTTTCATTTTTATTCTTCCAAAAATAAGAAACAAAATTATAATATAATGCCAATGGATTAAGTCCCTGTTTAACAACCATTTAAAAAAAATCAAATTTATTTTCAACTACATATTGTCATAATAATATATTTTACACGTACTCATAATTTTTTTATTTTTTTTTTACTTTTTAACCATATATTATTCAAAAAATTACCGTTCCAAAACTCATAAAAAAAAACTTTTTAAAAGTTGTCAAATCAGATCAAGAAATATTGCGCACAAACCTATGGGCCAGTTTTCTAAGAATAATGTTATTTGTCAAATGATCATCATGAATATAGGTGACATTGGGTCCATTATTTCATGAGTTGTGCTACTTACAAACATGGTTTACAAAGTAGGTTGATAAAATAATATCCACACCAATCATTTCAAAAATAGATTTTTAAATTATTTGAAATCAATAGTCTGAATTTTGGCAATTTCGTCATTTTTCGCGACTGTGTAGGAATGGGCTAAAATTTGACAGGTTGATCAGAAACAAAAATCTCGCCGGGGGCAATTTCGTCATTTTTCGCAAATGTTTTGGAATTGGGTAAAATTTGACAGGTTGATCGGAAACAAAAATCGAGCCGGGGGCTATTTCGTCATTTTTCGCGACTGTGTCGGAATGGGCTAAAATTTGACAGGTTGATCGGAAACAGAAATCGCACCGAGGGCTATTTCGTCATTTTTCGCGACTATGTCGGAATGGGCTAAAATTTGACAGGTTGATCGGAAACAGAAATCGCACCGAGGGCTATTTCGTCATTTTTCGCGACTATGTCGGAATGGGCTAAAATTTGACAGGTTGATCGGAAACAGAAATCGCACCGAGGGCTATTTCGTCATTTTTCGCGACTATGTCGGAATGGGCTAAAATTTTAAAGGTTGATAGGAAACAAAAAACCGCGTCGGGGGCAATTTCGTCATGCTTCGCAACTGTGTCGAAATTGGCTAAAAATTGATAGGTTGATCGGGAACAAAAACCGCGCCGGGGGTAATTTCGTCATTTTTCAAAACTGTGTCGGAATTGGCTAAAATTTGATAGGTTGATCGGAAACAAAAATCGCGCCGGGGACAATTTCATCATTTTTCGCGACTGTGTAGGAATGGGCTAAAATTTGACAGGTTGATCGGAAACAAAAATCTCGCCGGGGACAATTTCGTCATTTTTCCCAAATGTTTCAGAATTGTCTTAAATTTGAAGGGTTGATCGGAAACAGAAATCGCGCCGGGGGCAATTTCGTCATTTTTCGCGACTGTGTCGGAATGAGCTAAAATTTGACTGGTTGTTCGGAAATTAAAAATCACGTCGGGGGCAATTTCGTCATTTTTTGCGACTGTGTCGGAATGGGCAAAAAATTGACAGGTTGATCGGGAATAAAAATCGCGTCGGGGGTAATTTCGTCATTTTTCAAAACTGTGTCAGTATAGGCTAAAATTTGATAGGTTGATCGGAAACAAAAATCGCGCCGGGGTCAATTTCGTAATTTTTCGCGACGATGTTGGAATGGGCTAAAATTTGATTGGTTGATCGGAAACAAAAACCGCGCCGGGGGCAATTTCGTCATTTTTCGCGACTGTGTCGGAATGGGCTAAAATTTGAATGGTGGATCGGAAACAAAAACCGCGCCAGGGCCAATTTCGTCATTTTTCGCGATTGTGTCGGAATGGGCTAAAATTTGAAAGGTTGATCGGAAACAAAAATCGCGCCGGGATCAATTTCGTCATTTTTCGCATCTGTGTAGGAATGGGCTAAAATTTGATAGGTTGATCAGAAACAAAAATCGCGGTGGGGGCAATTTCGTCATTTTTCGCAACTGTTTCGGAATTGGCTAAAATTTAACAGGTTGATCGGAAACAGAAATCGCGTCGGGGGCAATTTCGTCATTTTTCGCGACTGTGTCGAAGTGGGCACATTCCAGTGGTCACTATGGTTAAAGGGTAGCAATCCCCCCAAAAATTCATACTCGAATCGATGATAATATCTCGATAGTCCTAGTGAACTCCATACTTTTGTTTGGATTGACATTTGCCGCCACTCTAAAATTGTATTAATTTTACTAGAATCTATCGTAATTTCTCATACTGTCACTATTTGTTTAAAAATATCACTTGACCCAACGAATGATTGCACTCCTTGAATTTGGTATTGAACTTATAGGGGGATTCTTCACTTAAGCCTGTCCAATTTGAATCGATAGGGTTTGGCAAACCATGAAATTTCTACTTATAAATGAATATAGTACGTTAACCTGTTCGTAACCTACTACATTAGCCATTGGCTTGTTGAACCAATTGACATCAATTGAGGAGGGAGGTGGGGAAGTGTGGTCAATAACCCAAATATATAATATTTTCATTTTAAAAATATTTTATATTTATATTTCGTAGTTAAATTAGTTCCCACCAATTGTGAGAACTTGATTTTCCACTAATTGGCATAACTCATTTGTTAGAAGCAAGTGTACACTAATTCAATCACTATTAATTGAAAATACCAAAAACATTAAATTGCGCTCACAGCTCGACTCAAAATTCTCAAATGATTAGCAGGGATTAATTAATTATTAACATTCTGCTAAGGAATTTAAGAATATTAAAAATTGAAATAGCACGTACTGAGAAATTAAAATTTAGCCAAGTCATATTACATTTACGAGTTTAGCAAATTAGGTGGCTAGGTTTCCTACTAAAGAAAAACAATTCCAACTTGACTAAATTATAATGAGAAGGGAATTAATTGTTCCAATGGTTACTAAACTTAAGCTCATGTCTTTTATTGGTCACTGAAGTTTAAAATGTTAAGTTTTGATTACTGAAGTTAGGTTCATGTCTTCGATTGTTCATTGAAATTTAAAATGTCGAGTTTGGCCACCTAATTTTGGAAAATAAAATACGTTACTCACTAGCATAAATGTTGAACTTTGAGAATATCAAATTTACAGTGAATAATGTACAATAGTTTTCAAAATTCAGTGACCAAAACTCGTCATTTTAAATTTCGATTAGCAATTCCAGGCATAGGCCTAACTTCGATGATCAATTAACTCATGAGTAGGAGTTATTCTAGCGATAAAAGTTATTTTTAATAGATAGTAATTAATGTTTTTCTTGAAATTATGAAAATACTTGAATACATATTTTTTGATGACTTGAAAATTTTGAATTAGAATAATGGTATTCATAGTCACATCTTTGAATGATTTTAATTGATTTGTCATCTTAATTGAATCTTAAATGTAAGATTTAAGAAGACAAATTAATAATGCCATGTAGCTCAATTTTGTAAGCATGATTTATTAAAGTAATATCCTTTGAATCTATAAACCGAACTGAATTAAATTTGAAATAAACTATTTATTTGATAGACGTCAATTAGTATTTAGTAAAAGCATCGTAACATATTTCTTCTTAAAATAAAACATTTTTAGTTCTGTTTCTTTTCGAAAGAATATACGATAAAATACCGTATTTTCCAAAAATGAAAATCTTGTTTAATTATCCAGTTGCTAACTTTCTTTTCTTGTCCGGTTAAAATTGGGGCATTTCCTACTTGGCTACTTTCTTCTTTCAACTAACGGATCGCTCATCTCTCACTAAATCGAACGGCTACGATTTGTCAACAGAGATGGCGTGTATATCGTTGACCCGCAACACGCCGGAGTCCGCTCCCGTTGATCAGAGGTTCCCGGCAGTGGCAGCGGAGGAAGAGGATCGGTGTAGCTCTTATCGTCGTCATCCACGTCTTCGATCAGGAAGAACAGTGATGAGTCAGACGGCGAGGGGAAGAGGTACGGAGTAAATATAAATGTGGGCATAAGATGGGTTCGATGCTTTGGAAAAGTTTCTGCCTATAAGGTACATATTCTCTTTTTATTTGATTTGAAATCCATTTTTAACAAGTGTTCGGTACTAATTTGAAGAGATTATATTTGCTTTTAAATTTGAATTTTTTTTTATTTATAATTTTTTTTTTTCATTTTAAATGTGTTTTAGGGTTTTCATTTGTTTCCTATATGTTGATTTTGTTTAATTGCATGAAGAGTATCTTTGTACGAAAAATAATGAACTTGTGCACGGCGAAGTTAAATAACAGTTGCATATAAAAACGAAGATAATGGATTTTTTTCTTTATCTTGTCCATATGTCCAAGTCATCAGAAGTTTGTAATCAACATAGCTGTAAGCTACTGTAGTTGAACCATGGTTTGAGATTGCAAGATAAGAGCTTGTTCAAGATCATTTCAATAGCAAAACAAGTTGAAACTTCAATATTTTGATGTTTGTAGAGTTCAATCAATCCTTTCTAACTGCACAATATCTAATTTTTATCGGTTTGCATCAATTACAATAAGTAATTTCTAATTTCTGATGGTTAACGTACAAATTCCTTTTGCATTTATGTTTATGTTGTTTATCCAATAATTTCTATTGGCTTATTTCAGGAATGGCATATCTAAGTTCTAGTGTGAAAATCCAAATTTTTTACCAGCCTTTCGGATGCCTTGTCTTGCTTGTCTATTAAAGATATTGTTAAGCCTGATGATGCATACACCAGGAGGCAAAAAAAATTGCTTGCCTTCAATAACTTTTGGGACAAGAATTGTGATATTACTTTAAGAAGTAACAATGGCGGGATATCAAAAAGTCCTGCCAACTCTAGAAGTGCATTAACTCAGGCAGAGACCACAAGCCATTCTGAGAGCAATAACAGTGAAATTTCTATCTCAAAGTCGTCATCACCTGGTGGATATCATGTCATCTCCACCGCTCGGTGAGAAGTTTGCCCCTGGCGGTCTTTCTCTTTGTCTGATCTGCAACGTACAACTGCTGCTGGTGCCAACATCTGGGATTATGGGTCTATAACAAAAACAAATAAAGCAAAGTATACAGATGGCCTTCACTTTAGAGTCACACTCATAATCGAAAGTCAGATAGATGTTCATTGAGGTGGAGATATTTGTAATTTCTGCCTTGCTTTGTTATTATAGGCTTCTACCGTTTGTTGTAATTGCTGCTGTATATTCTTATCAGTTTCTGCTCTCCTGGTCAGCTATTGTGTAGCTATATAAAATTCCTGCTAATTCTGAAGATTCGTTCTCCTTCTCTTCCCAAGTCTCTTGTCCTCGTACGTTTCTAACTAAGTCAACTATCCTTATCTAGGAAATATAGGAATTTCATTTAATGAGAAGAATATTTTTCCTAAGGACACCTCCATGTTATGCTTTGTGGGACTTAAATTAGGGTTTCTCGTGAGCTTAGTAGTAACTCATAGTGAGCAAACTTGGTGGCAACTGAAGAGTTCTGGCACTGTTGCCCAGTGTCAGCTGTTGCACTCGTATATCCAATATTGCTTTTTTAATAAAATTAGGCGTCTTGAGTAATTATGATCTTGAACTTTTTATTTTTGTGTGGGAGTGTCTGTGCATGTTGTGCAAAATATTTTCCGGATTTCTGCAGCTTCTAGGAGCTTAGTTGCCATTGCAGAAGACACGAAAGGACATAGTGTTGTGAAGTACTGGCGTACTAAAACCCCTGGACTTCAGATCACAGCTTCTTTAAGGTATGGAATCTGACCTAACTTTATTTCTACCAGCAGCAAAATTTTAGTTTGATTATATATATTTGTTTTTGTTAATGATCTTAGTCTGTTGCTAATATATTAGCATGCACTTTTGTCTTGGTAGCCTATTTTCAGTTTCATGCAATAAATGCTTTTTTATGATTAGCACTGCAACGTTATACATAGTAGAGAGTAAATATCCAAACACCTTTACAAGCAAATGCTGTAGAAATGGAAGTTTTGGCCTTCTTCAAATTTCTAGATTTGTTCCATATGGACATCTTTAGCACTTGCTTTCCATGATGAACCGATGGTGCAGAGTAACTATAAATTCGTGATGCTTGTCGGAGTGGTCGTGGACTTTTGAAATCATTTATGAAGCTTCATACTAACTGATACAATGGTAAATGTCAAATCAAAAGGATTACATACAATTATAGATCCGTATTATCGCAGTCATTTATTATGTAAACTCACGTGGACAGTAAATAGACTTCAAACTTGTATCGGAGGAATTTTTCTAAGGGCATTTGCTCCATATACAGATATTAGAGGAAATAATGACAAATACTTGGTTTTGAGCCTAGTAACGACAAGCAAAAATGAAAGATTAGCAGAAATACCGTTTTCTTTAGACTTAATTCTCTGAGACTCCTAATGGAAATAATTTTTCACAAACATTTTCATACATAAGTGGCCAGGTTATGATGAATGAAAGTATTTTGGTTGAATGAGCGGCCATCAGATTGGTAATGAACGGTATTAATGAATAACAAATCAATTCCTTAGGGTACTGTTCGTGAGCAAATTATTGATCCGAGTAACGAAATTGAGCTAAGTTAGGGTTTTGTCCTTGAGCAAAGTTATTGAACTGAAAAGAAAAGTTGAGCCTTAAAAACACCAGGAATTTCATTTAGGCTAACAGATATGATTGTAGCTCTTTATCCTCGTTTACTAGATTGTAAAGAAAAAGCTTTCATGCTAGTGAACATTTTTGACCTTGGAAATGACTCTTGATTACATTAGCAATGTTTATAGCAAAAAATTGCTTTTGCCGAATGTTATTCAGTAAATAGGTAGTCTAGACAAGAATGGATGCATAATACTTCAATGTTGGTGGTAGAGACTTAAAGGTTTATGCATCTACAGGAGTGACACAGCAAAGAAAAGAGTTATTTATTTATTTTGGATTTCGTCTTTGGTTCTAATGTATGAATTATTTAAAAATACCAACAATCTAAGTTACACTCACTAAATTTGAGGTGAACTATATGAATCACTTTTCATCATTGCATTCTATTCATCATGAGATTATCTAATGCAAATTGTGGATTATTTAAAAATATGTACTAAAATATTGTGAATAGAAAAAATGAGTTTAAAATATATATGTAAATATTGTGGCTACAAAAAAACGATTTTTTGACTGCTTTCGCACTTTGTTCCCTGTTAGGAGCTTGTGCATAAAATATGAACATAGTAGGAGTAGCTGATCACGAGGTAGATATTGAACAAATCTACATGTGCAACTAGCTATGGAAAGACATACTTATTAACATACTATATTTACCCAGGTAATTTCATCTTTATATATTGGCTATTTAGGTAAACATATAATTTCTTGCTTTCTTAATGTATATGCGTGTCTTTCCCTAGATGGAAATGGCAAAATTATAAAGGTATCCAGTCTTCCCATAATCTAAGCAAACTATTTTTACCAGCTACAGATTTTTTATTTTAAAATGGTTTGGAGCCAACTTAATTTTTGCTTGTGGTTTATAGCATAGTTATGAATGCTTCACGATTCATGTCTTTTGTAGGCTGTGAAGCATTGAACTGCCTATGAACGATTGTGGGGTTGGCCATAGGTGGAGATTTCTGGATAAAAATCGTTTCTTTGCAGAAGTTATTCATTAAACAGGCTTGATTTGTGGTATTGGGCGGTGAAAATTAGGCTTTGTTTGTGGTATCGGGCGGTGAATAATCGTTGACACGTGGCATTAGACTTAGTTTTATAAAAGTTGCTGGAGTATCCTCCAATTCATTACTTGTACTACTTTTCAGATACCTGAGTAGGTTTGCTTCCTTATTCTAGTTCTGGTTTTGCTTTTTTCCCGATTCATGTTACTTTTAATGTTATTAAGTTTGCAATTGTTAGCCCGAAATCTATAGATCTGTCATGATTGTGAAGATTGTTAGAGAAACATTGCACTGGGCTTTGTTTTTTGAGTTTGAGTTTTTTTCCTTCTATAATTTTTCTTGATTTAATCCCTGGGTAAATTCTGTTTTCAGGATTTTTTCTCGTCTTAAGTTTGGATCTTATGGATTCTAAACCAGTTATAGTCAGCCTGAAGGCGCTGCGTGCTTTCCATTCAATTGACAGGGCTCTTTATGCTATACTCGTGACTGAACTTTGGCGTGATCCCGTGGAATCGTTGCAGATTATTGCCTTATGGCTTTGGTTAGAGCATGTGGGTTTTGGCAAAGTCACAAGGAAGATCTTGGCATTTGCTCCGTTGTTCATCAATCAAACTGCTGAAGAGGCGGTTATGTGTATCAAGTGCATAAAGGATTCCCACTTCAGACATTCAGCTGAAGCCACCGATATTCCTCTGACTCGTAGCATTGTCGAGAAAGAGATATCACTTCGGTTTTTTAATGAGAATCGTGTGACTGCATCCCGTGAAGTAGGCAGAATTATTAATCAAGATTGCCTGTACACTATGCGAGACATCACTGAAAAAGCCCTTCATGGTAATTCTGGAGAAAGATCATCAAGAAACTGGTTATTAAATCCATTGAATGCTGCTCAGAATTCTCCATCAAATTCTACTCTGATGCCATTTAATGGTCGACAAAGTTCACGATGGAATCAGATGATGATTTCATCCAACGCTAATACTGCAGAAAGTTCATATAGAAACCAGATGATTCCTTTTAATGCTTCTCGACGCTATTTATCAAATCCCATTGTCATGCCATTCAATGGTGGGCCAAGTTCAGGATATGGCCAGATGATGATTCCATCGAATGATGCTTGAAGATCTTTATCAAATCCTACTGTGATGCCATTCAATCTTAGACGAAGATCTGGGTTGAACGAAATGATGATGTCACGTCATTTCCACGAGTCGATGATCCATAACTTCTCTAACATGAGAGTTGGAAGGAATGCATTCCCGAGAAATAATCAACTCATAAACGAGGTACCACGAGAAGACAGGACTGTGTTTGCAACATTTTCTGGGGGTTATCCTGTGGCTGAAATGGAAGTTAGGCACTTCTTCACAACGGTCTATGGGAATTGCATAGAATCCTTCAGAATGCAGGAGGTTAGGCCTTACGAGCAACCACTTTATGCTCGAGTCGTGTTCCTTTAAGCCTCGTTCGTTCAGGAAATTCTTGATGGTACGGAGAAGGCCAAGTTTACCATCAACGGAAAGCACGTATGGATGCGCAAGTTTGTGCCAAGAAACGAGGGCTCCTCTTAACTGGCATTGGTGTGATAGAATACTGGCTACGTCATCTATCTGTATTTTGATGTTTCGTTCCCTGTAGTTTCCCGTTATCCTGTCGTTATTGTAGCCGTTTGTCGTGTTAATGTAATTTCTTTCGTTTCTTTCTTTTACGTGTTGTATTTTCAATTTGACTAGTGAATGCAATATATTAGTGGTGTTACTTGTGTTAATTTCAGTTATTTCGAGTAAACTTGATGTCTTTTAAGAGTGATGTTTGGTAAATAATACATAGAAAATAAGTAATGAGTAACATGATAAAATAGGTTGTTCAATCCTTGAGGTTTTTCTGAACTTGCATCAACTCTCCAGACTCTTCAGACTAAAATACCAGGAACTACTCTCACACAATCCCCCTGTCTGGAAAAGGTTAATAATTTAGGGTGGGTGTGATTACATTTATTTTCCATGAAAAATATCAGTTTTCACTCAAATTCCTATTTCGGATGTTTGATTGTTATTTTTTTTTCAGTAAAAATATTTTCCAACTTTTAAAAATATGCCTAGTTTTCCTTATTTTTAAGGAAAATAATTTTTTTGGAGAGAGCCGGTTTTTGTTTTCCACAAAATAAGGAAAATATTTTTTCTTTAGATGATATTTTTCACGTCAATCAAACACATTTTTATCCTTTTTTTAGTTGTGGGGCCGCATGGGTGGGAAGTTACGGAGCCTAGCTGGTGTTGAGTTACGCACGACAAAAGATGACAAATTTTTTTTTTTACATTTTTTCTCTAAATCTTATCTGTTTAGTCTACACTAACAAATTTTTCATAGTTGTTCCCTTTATTCTAATCAAGTCCAGATTAGCATATGAAAGAGTGTTTGTTTGGGAGAAATTATAATAGTATTAAATGAAAGTAAGTAGTGGGTCCTATAAAACGTGTGGATAATAAGTAGGAGTAATTGTAAATATATAATTACAATTAATGTTTGACCTAAAATTATAATGATATTACCATGTTTGGTTGCATGAGGAGCTCACTCCATTTCAACATTTCTTTTTATAAGCTTATAATTATGTCAATATAAATAACATTTGAAATTAATTATTTAAGATTGATAAAATCTGTGTAAACAACTATTAAAAATATGTGTGAGAGATGTGTACCTTCATTAAAACTCTACCTAAAAAAAAAGTGAGTTCAACGTCATCTTAATCTCACCTAAAACTGTAACAAATTTTGTCTTGCTTCGGTGGTTGGGGTTTGGTGAGAGGTAAATAACTTTTAAGTCAAACGCAGAAGCATTAATTTGGCTTGTTGTGACATGAAGAACTCGAGTGCTATTCAAATTTTTATCTTTTAAAAAGTAGAAGAATTTTACATAAAGTGAGTAAAAAATTGACTCGTTAATTATCTCGATAATTGATTTTGTAACTGACTACAATTGGTAATGGTCCAAATGAATCTATTAAGAATCGTGTTGAACTGGACATAATTCAGGTTTTTTTTGTTTTTGTTACTATAAAATATAGTCCATTCGTTATATATTGTTTTTAGGTTTGAAAAGTTGAATTGATTAGGTGGTTTTATAAATGCATTATAGTTTTAACATGAGATGGATGGATTTATTTATATTGGAAGAGGCTTTGTGAAGTAATAAAATTGTAATCATTAATGAGAAGTGAACGTGTTATTCCAAGGAATACCAAAATGGTCCAAAATATTTACACAAAGTTTCCGGTCAAGTCTAGTAGTTCAATTGATTATATTAGTATTTTTATTTGTTATTATTCGTCATATAAACATCAAAGAGCGTATTGATATTAATGTACCAACTTTATATATTCAAATTTTATAAGATTGCATAGTTAAATGAATGGAGTAAAGGAAATCGAATTATACCATTCTTTACTTAAATGTTGAGATGAGTCCATGTCCATTCATCATTTTCAATTTTTGAAAATTGATGAATAGAGAAGAGGACACCCCATGTCTTAATGTTCGAAGATTTATCGATACTAGTTATTTAACAAAATTAGTACCACTTCAATGAATTGCTTGTGCAATTTTTTGTCGTCCGTCGTCTTAGAAATCTATCTTTATAGATTTTCCACTTAACATATATAAACCAAGAGTATTCAGAAGTTCCCCAAACACAGGTCTTGCGATGAACATTATTTGGCCCCGTTTAGTCTCCATTATTTTTTTATTATAATGGGGGAATAGTTTTTTTTTTTTGAAAAATTGATGCATGTAAAAAAAATGAAAAATTTTCGATTTACGTGTAATATTATTTTATGGAAGATTGTGTGGTTAAAAATAGGAGGGAGAAGGGGCCAAACGGGGGCTCGATAAAGATTACGGCGAACACACGTCTCAAATATGGGACTACACTATGTCATGCTAGGGCACAAGAGTGTCGTAAGATCGGAGGATGCAGCGAACTAAGAGGTCCTTCTTCTTCTTTTGATTTGACTATATCAGTTAGTACCTAAAAAGTCAAACATGAGACATTCTAAGTATGTTTTGCCGTGGAAGAGATTGCTTTGTCATTGAAGTGATGAATCGTAACGGGCTAGTCATAGGGCCGCTTGACCCAGTGCTCCACTTCTAACTCTAGTTAGACATGTTTATCTTTGAGAAAAGCCCAGTGTACAGGGCATTTCTCATAGGTCTTTTACAAGGTCCCTCATTGTGCGGGGGCCCCACATGTATTAAAAATAAATAAAATTATATGAGGCCTGCGTATGTGTGTGGCTTGGCCCTGTAAGCCTAGCATCTCTCTTTATCTTTAGATATGCAACACCAATCTAATAGACACATCATATTGTCGGTCCTAGATAAGTATTTTTGTGACTCGGTTGACGGTCAAACGTAAAATAATTAAAATAATTTGCAAGAAATTAAGAACTTAGCAATTTTCGGCCCTAAGGCCCCGAGGTTCGGCTAATGCCTACTCTCCGTTGAGCATCCGTTAGAATTTTGCTCAAATCCACTAGATCAACTCAAAAACCAGGCAAAGTTACAAGTACAGAAAGAACTCCAAGATTTCTGCCTCTCGAAATACACAGATCACCATCAAGATTCCAGAATATTCCACAAAGGAATGGATCTCTTCACCCTCTAAACATATTATCACAATTTCACTCAGAAATTACACTAGATTCATCACACAAGATGAATATTCATATAGATCAGAAGAGGAGCAGTCAAGAGATTAGGGTTAGGGTTCGAGAGTGAGTGACCCAAAAGTCAGGCTCCATTATTTATAAGAGAGGAAGCTAATATGCTAATCCAATGGTTCCCAATTTGCCAGGTGTCAACCATCCAGCCACAATCATATTATAAGTAAAGTTGCATTTTAGAAACACGATTTCTCATTAATTTCGAACGTTTAATTAACTGGATCAAATAAGTGGGCCTTATATAGCTAGCTCGATCATTGGGCTCAAGAATTGCAGCAGCCCAATATCTTCACAATCTCCACCTTGCTTGAATTTTGAGGCCAATACTAAGTGGATTCTTACAAAACTGACCAACTTCATTTGCTCTAAAAAACCTGTAAAAGAAAAAAGGATCAGAGTTAGTAAATTTCAAGATTCAACAACCTCAAGGAATCTTTGAATTTACTTAGAGGTATCACCTTTGTACCTGCATCAGCAGGATTTATTTTAGTAGGAATTTTGACCAACTTTATTTCACATTTTTCAACAATATCTCTAATGAAGTGAAACTTAACATCTATATGCTCGCTCCTATCATGAAAAATTGGATTCTTACTTAAGAAAATGGCACTTTGGTTATCAGAACACAACTCCACATGATTTTCTATAAATCCTAACTCCTTCAATAACCCCATCAACCAGAGACCTTCTTTTACTGCCTCTGCAGCAGCTATGTATTCAGCCTCAGTTGAGGACAGTGCTACCAATTTCTAAAGTTGTGATTTCCAGCTTATGCATGTAATATTGATCACATAAAAATACGCAATAGTGGATTTCTTATTATCATAGTTTCCAGCAAAATCTGAAGCTACATAGCCTTTCAATTTAAGACCATTTTTATCAGATTTAAACATAAGACCTAAGTTCTGTGTGCCTTTCAGGTATCTAATTAAAATTTTCATGGCTTGCCAATGAAGCTCACCCGGATTACTCATAAATCTGCTTAATACACTTACTGCATAAGCTATATTAGGTCTAGAACATACCATAACATACATGACAGAATCCACAGCATTTGCATATGGTACATTCAACGTTCTTTTAAATTCATCTTCATTTTTAGGTGATTGATCAATTGATAATTTCACATTCCCAGACAAAGGTAAACTAACAGGTTTTGCATTATGCAAAGAAAATTTTCTCACAACCTTTTCAATATAGGCTTTTTGGGTTAAAAACAACTTTCCATTAGACCTGTCCCTTTTTATTTCCATTCCTAGTATCTTTCTAGCAGGTTCAAGGTCTTTCATTTCAAATTTAGACTTTAATTTTTGTTTCATAAAATTTAAAGTAGCAGAATTATGACCAGCTAGAAGCATATTATCCACATATAGGAGCAAGTAAAATGATTCACATTCTCCATCCTTTTTGAAATAAAAACAGGGATCATATTCAGATTTTATGAAATTCAGGCTTTGTATAAAAGAGTCAAATCTTTTATACCACTGTCTTGGAGCCTGTTTTAGGCCATACAATGATTTATTTAACAGACACACTAAGTGTTCCTTTCCTTTAACCTCAAAGCCGTTTGGTTGTTTCATATATATAGTTTCATCCAAAAAACCACATAAGAAGGCTGTTTTAACATCAAGTTGTTCTAGTTCTAAATCAAATTGTGCTACGAGGGCAAGTAATATTCTAATAGAGGTATACTTCACTACTGGAGAAAATATCTTAGTATAATATATACCCTCTCTTTGTGTAAAACCTTTTGCTACAAGTCTTGCCTTGTATCTTCTATCATTTGATTTAAATTCGCCTTCTTTAATTTTATACACCCACTTAGAGTCAATCAGTTTGCAGTCTTTGGATTTTTCTACTAAATGCTGAGTTTTGTTTTTACTTAGAGAACTCATCTCATCCTGCATTGCTGCAAACCATTTCTCAGATTCTTTAGAGATAGTTGCCTCTTCAAATGACTCAGGTTCCTTATATTGAGGATCAAATTCCAAGTGTGCAGATACAAAATCTGCATATTGGTATCTTAAAGGTGGTCTAATCTGTCTCTCTC